TGGAGACTGTCATGCTAAGTGAAATAAGTCAATCCCAAAAAACCAAAGGTCAAATATTCTCTGATATGTGGATGCTAACATACAGTAAGGTGGAGGGGATAGAAGTTSATTGGATTAGACAAGAGGAATAAAGAGAAGGTAGAAGAGTAGGAATAGGAAAGACAGGAGAATGAATCAGACATGAATTTTCTGTGTTCAGATATGAATACACAATCAGTGAAACTCCAAATCATGTACAACCACAAGAATGCAATCCWAATTAGAGTAAGTTATACTCTATATATGTATATCAAAATATATTCTACTGTCATTTGTATCTAAAAAAGATAATTAAAAATAGTTCTTGCATTAACTACATGTTATTAAACATTAATAATGATAAAACATGTTATAAACTCCAAAATATTAAATAGCTAAAATTCTCTTATATATGGCTCTCAACTAAAAATAGTCGGACTTAAAATTTTTCAGCTACAATGATGTAAAAGTTATACATATCTATTATAAATAATACTTAGAATATGAATTTTAACCTTTTTGCTGGCTAGCAAATATTGAGCTAGGTAGGCTGTGGTAGTGAGCTACAGTTTCCAGTCAGYCAGGTGATCATGAGAGAACAACTGATACTCTAAWCTTGAAATCCAGTACAATGTTCCATAGTGTTGCTAAGCTATGATGTTTGTTACATTAGAAGTATTAAATGCATTTTTAACTTATAATAGGTTTATTGGGATGTATCCACACTGTAGTTGAGGGGCATCTGTATATATTGACAAAAATTCTAATTTAATTGTTTTCCTAAAAATAACAGGTGGGTGGGTGCAATGGCACTTAGCTGTAATCCCAATGACTTTGGAGGCTGAAGCAAGAGGATCACAAATGCAAGACCAGCCCCAGCAACTTAGTGAGACACTGTCTTAAAAAATAAAAAGGACTGGGGATGTAGCTCAGTGGTACCCCAAGTAGTACCACCATCAACCACCATCACTACCAGCACCATCATTATCATAATAATAAATGGTCATTGGGGCAAAAAAAACCACAGACATATAGAAAAAAAGTATAAATTACCCTAAATTCTAATACCCAGTGCTCATCATTTTTAACATACAAGATAACACATGTATCATGAATCTCTTTTCATATTAGTAAAAATAGATATGTATTAAAACATTTAATGACTGTAAAATATTCTATTTTGAAATAAAAAAATGTGCTTAAAACCCTCTTTATGAATATTTAAGTTGCTCCAAGTTCTCATTGTTTTAAACAACCTTCTGCTATGATTTGCATGTTTTTGTCCCTTCCAAAATTCATGTGTTCAAAACTTGCTCCCCAGTGCAGCAGTGTTGAGAGGTGGGATCTTTTGTTCAGGTAGTGAGGTCTCCACCCTCATGAATGGATTAATGCTGCTATAAAAAGTGCTTGAAGGGTTTTTCCCTCCTGCTCTTCTGACATGTTATTCCATGTCTGTCTTCATGCCAGGACACAGCAAGAAGGCCCTTGTCAGATGCCAGCACCTTGATCCTAGACTTCCCTGGTTTCAGAACTGAGAGAGAATAGATTTCTGTCCTTTATATATTACCCAATCTCATGTATTGTTACACCAGCATAAAACAAACTAAATCACCCACTAAAGAACAACATCATATATTTTCAATCTTATAAAAATATCAAAGTTTTTTTAAAGAACTAGAACTGAAAAAAATTAAATGAAACAGAATAGGTATATTCAATTAAAATCTCAGCTTATTTTAGCTAACCTGAACTAAGTAAGAAAACAAAATTGAACAACAAAAAAAAGATAAACACTTAATAGTAATGCAGTTTTTTAACATTAAGAATTCTATTCTATTCCCCATCCCCYAAATAAAAATCTTTGCTACAAGTAAGGTACCTTACTTGAGGCAATTTGATCAGCTGAAATGAGTGTTTATGTCCTGGGAACCTAGGAAATGAAAGTTCTAAGTCTTTCATAACTCAGAAAAGAAAAAAGGAAATATATAGCAAAAATCAGCACTGACTCTCCTCAAAAAAAAAAAAAAAAAAAAAAAGAATGGATCCAAGCATCAGAAGACTTTGGTTCTTGATATCTACATTTTCTTTGCAACAGACTAGAGGAGATTTAGCAATAAACACTTAGAAGATTATGAACTAGAATGCCATTACAAGTAAAAGGCTGTCTCTTCAGAAACTTGAAACACTTTTCAGTTCCTAAAAGAGCTTATTCTCAGTTATACAGAGTTAGAATTTATTGAGCTGTGTCCATGAAGCAATAAATAAGACTGAAGCAATCAGTCAAAAAGGAAAGTCCTAATTTGTCTTATTGAAGAAAAAGAACTTATTGGATTTTCCTCGTTCCAAATCCTTAAGAAAGAATAAATAAATAAATAAATAAATAAATAAATAAATAAACCTCCTGTAGTTAGGGGTTGACGGAACACACACCAAATTTCTTTTTCATAGAATGCAGCAGATGCTTAAGATGGTACCATCTCTGAAAATACTAGAATTACTTTGATTAATAAATATGAGAAATAGAACTGAATAATGGATTTTAGACTATAACGTACATTGGTTTGTCAGGAAAAAAAATGACTGCTGACCACCAAAAAAAAAAGGAGGAGGAGGAGAAGGAAGGGCAGGAGGAAATGTTGATGATTATCTTTCTTTTAGCGCTATTAGACACACTACTTTTCACTTCTAAGAGAACACCTCTTTACATGCTCTCATTTTGGCTTTTGATCAACCACCCCCTCTGGCCAAGCATAACACCTACCATATAATCTACTTCACTCAACCATTTCAGACACTTTTACCTGATAATTGAAATTTTTAAATGTCTCAATAGTCACTGCTCTCTCATTTTAGTGGATTATGGTATAAATCAAATGAACAAATGTCCAAGGAAATGTTACATTTCAAACCTTTTTTTTTTTTTTTAGGGGAAAATTTGAAAAAAAAAACAATGAAAATTCTAAGGTCTGCTACCAATTTGTTATCTGAACTTGAACTTAACTATTTTATATCTTTTCTATTTTATAAAAACAATCCAGTTTCTACTGTGAGGGTAAAATGAGATAAATTAATATTGGAAGTTGGAAAGTATTATAAAAATGAAAGTTAACAATAATGATTGTGTGACACACTCCCATATGCTAGGTACTGAGGAAAACTTTTAACAACTAATCTAAGTGGCTTGTTTCACTGTAAATGTAGACTCCCATGAATTACTTGGGAACATTAGGCAGTGTGGCCATGATGAATGCTATCAATACCAGCAAGCGCAAAGCCTTCACATCTGGCTGCRAGCCATCTGAAGCTCACTCCACCAGACTTTGGCCAAATAAATCACTTTCAAGATTTCATCAGTCTCTAATCTTCTCACAGTAGTGAGAAGACAGAAAGAATTTGTAATTTAGAACTCAGCTAGAGGTGAAACAAAAAAAACAAACAAAAAAAAAAGAGGTGGGATCTTTTGTTCAGGTAGTGAGGTCTCCACCCTCATGAATGGATTAATGCTGCTATAAAAAGGGCTTGAAGGATTCTTTCTCTCCTGCTCTTCTGACATGTCTTTCCATGTCTGTCTGTCTTCACGACAGGACACAGCAAGATGGACCTTGTCAGATGCCAGAACCAAAAGTTTCAAAACTACAAGACCTACCAGGTAAAGTGGTCCAGAACTTTTGACATTTTTCTATCTCTCTATTAAAGAGCCCATGTCAGACATCAAAACCCTACTTATATTTGGGGGATTCTTTTGTTCTCTCCATATATAGTATTGTTACTATCAATAACCAGTATGCCTCCAAAGTTTTGGTAACTATTAAGAAAATCCACAATAGAAGACATAGAGACAAACCCATACAGATATCGTCAAAGATCCTTGACAAAGGTACCAAAAGCAAACACTGGAGAAAAGAAAACCTCTTTTAAAAAAGGTGCTGAGAAAACTGTATATATATATACACTGAGACTAGATCTTTATGTCTTACCCTGCACAAAAATCAACTCAAAATGGATCAAAGACCTAGGGCTTAGACCAGAAACTACACAACTCCTAGAAGGGCTGCAAAAAGGCACAGGCAATATTTTCTCAATAGGACTCCTAAAGCTCAGGAAATAATGCTAAGAGTTAATAAATGGAATAGCATCAAAATAAAAAGCTTCTGCACAGCAAAGGAAACAAGAATGTGAAGAGAGGGCTGGGGCTGTAGCTCAGTGGTAGAGTGTTTGCCTAGCATATGTGAGGCACTAGGTTCAATCTCAGCACCACATGTAAATAAGTAAAATAAAGGTCCATTGACAACTAAAAAAAAAAAAGAACGTGAAGAGAGAACCTATAGAATGGGAGAGAATCTTTGCTAGTTACCCTCCAAACAGGATTAATATCCAGAACATATAAAGAACTCAAAAAACTTAATACCAAAAATCAAATGTCCCCCTTAATAACTGGATAAATGAACTAAACAGACACTTTTCAAAAGAAGAAATAAAAATGGCCAACAAATATATGAAAATATTCAACATCATTAGCAATTAAAAAATGCAAATGCAAATCATTTTACACCAGTAAGAATGGCAGTCATCAAGACTCCAAATAATAATAAATGTTGGAGAAAATGTGGAGAAAAAGGAACACTTTTACACTGTTGGTGGGATTGTGAATTAATACAACCACCATGGAAATCAGTATGGAGATTTCTCAAAAGACCAGGAATGGAATCACCATATAACCCAACTATACCATTTCCTGGTATTTATCCTAAAGAATAAAAGTCAGCATACTATAGAAATATGTGCATACCCATGTATACAGCAGCACAATTCACAGCCAAACTATGGAACCAGCCTATGTATCCATCAGTAGATAAACGGATAGAGAAAATGTGCTTTACATACACAATGAAGTTTTATTCAGCCATGAAGAAAAATAAAATTGTGTCATTTACAGGAAAATGGATGAAACTAGAGACCATTACGTTAAGCAAAATAAGCAGAACTCAAAAGATCAAGGGTCATATGCTTTTCTGTCATATATGAAAGCTAGAGAAGAAAAAGGAAAAGAAAGGTGGGGGGGATCTCATGAAAATCTAAGGGAGAGCATTAGAACAGAGGAAAGGGAGCAGGAGGAGGCTGGAGGAGGAGAGGAAGGGGGTACTGCTATGGGGGGGGGATATTGGCCAAATTATATTGCTATGTTGGGTGCATGTACAAATATATAACAACAAATCCCACCATTATGTACAACTATAATACACTAATAAAAAATGTGGAGAAAAAAATAAAATCCAACGTATCAGCTATAAGACTTCCATGTATCAAGTATTGAAAGGAGCTGCTCCAGATTTTTTGAACTGGCACACTCTAGCCTGAGCACAGATGACCCACCTATAATACAGACCATGATGTGGAATACTAGCTTCATGTAAGGAACACATTATTACTGAATCATAAAAGACAGAGACTATATGACTATATTTCAACATTACTATATCCCATAACACTCCATTCAAAGAAGAATTTCATCTCAGACCTTGAAAATAGACTCCTAAAAAATAGAGAATTTGGGCTGGGGATGTGGCTCAAGCGGTAGCGCGCTCGCCTGGCATGCGTGCGGCCCGGGTTCGATCCTCAGCACCACATACCAACAAAGATGTTGTGTCTGCCGAGAACTAAAAAATAAAAATATTAAAAACACTCTCTCTCTCTCTCTCTCTCTCTCTCCTCTCTCACTCTCTCTTTAAAAAAAAAATAGAGAATTTTATTGAAACTATGAAAATATATAAAAACTATAATCTTAATCAGAAACTAAACATTTCAAGAGTTATTTCATCAGAATAGAATGTCTTGGTGCCCAAAACAAGATAATGTTAACTTTCGGTACAAGAAACAAAATATATGCTTTGAAACATAACAGATTTTTAAATGGTTAATGTGAAAAAAGCAATGTTTGAAAGCTCCCATGTTATCTTCATTTTTCTGTCCATATAAATAATCTAACTTCTCATTGACTTCATGATGGCACAGGAAAACAAACTATAACAGAGTACTAGCAGAAAAGTCAGTTTTTGTTTCAATAATTAATTTGATAATAGTACATTAGTTTGTTGTTGTTGGGTTTGTTTTGGTTTTTTGTTTTGTTTTTTTGCAGTACTGGGGACTAAACCCAGAGCCTGTTGCCCTCTAGACAATCACTCTACCTTTGAGCTACATTCTAAGCACTAATATATATATATATATGTATATACATATATATATATATATATATATTTCTATATATGTATATATTTCTATATATATATATTTCTATATATATATATTTTAAGTTATAAATGGACACAATACCTGTATTTTATTTATTTTTTATGTGGTTCTGAGGATTGGAACCCAAGTGCTCTACCACTGAGCCACAATCCCAGCCCTCTCAATCCCTTTTGATTTAATTTTGAGGCAGGGTCTTACAAAGTTGTCCAAGCTGGCCTCAAACTTGGAATCCTCCTGCCTCACTCAGCCTCTTATGTAGCTGGGATTATAGGTATGTACCACTGATTTGTTAGTTTTAAGAATAAACTAGCTGGGTATAGGGACACAGTGACAGCTGCCCAGGAGGCTGAGACAGGATCTCAAGTTCAAAGCCAGCCTCAGGAATGGCGAGGCACTAAGCAACTCAGTGAGACCTGATCTAAATAAAATACAAAACAGGGCTGAGGATGTAGCTCAGTGGTTGAGTGTTCCTGAGTTCAATCCCCAATATCACTTCCCAAAAAAGAATAAACTAAGATACATATTTTAAAAATCATGATAACGGAGGGGCTGGGGTTGTAGCTCAGTGGTAGAGAGCTAACCTAGCACATATGAGGCACTGGGTTCAATCCTCAGTACCACCTAAAAAATAAAATAAAGGTATTTAAAAAATCATATAGCCAAAAACTAAAAAATAAATATTAAAAAAATTCTCTCTCTCTCCCCCTCTCTCTCTCACTCTCTCTTTAAAAAATAAATAAATAAATAATCATATAATGGAATTGTAGCCACTTTCACATTTTGATTATTGTCATATCTGTGCCTCTATGATTAGCTACAAATATTAAAAGGATTTTCATTTTGTCAGAGACCACTCTATTTTTCACACAGTCACATACTCATATCTGATCTTGCAATATTGAGACTTAAAATCTCTAATATCAAACTTTACAATGTAAACTGTAAAATCATCACTACCCATTTAGTAGAAAGGCCACCTGTATTTTTCATATCAGCTAGAACTGACTTAAGAAAATTGAGTACTTATTTCATACCTTCACAAACTCTAGGTAGTCGGTGTTGGTTCTTTCTCCACCGAGTCTAACAGGAACTAAAATAATAACAGCTTTGTCATCTGCATTATCAGAGGTCATGGAAGCACTCTGTTTATCAATTACATCAGAACTGTAAACTGAGGAAAACATAAAGAATACATATTCAATTTTAGAAAAGTGATTTTCAGAAGATTTTTACCCTAATTCCCCTGCCCCCACATTGGCCAGTCATCTGATCTTGGCATATTAAAAATATCTACCTCATTAATGTATGTATTCAATTTATACCAATTGAGTAGCTACTATATGGCACTGGAACTTCAGCAGTAGGTAAAACACAGACAAATTCCTGTCCTCTATGAATATATGCTCTAATGGGGGAAACAGATATTAAAAGGTAAAATATAAAATATGTCAGATGCTGGAGGTACTTTAACGAAAAATAAAGAAAAGTGGATAGGAAATGCTAAGGTGGGGACAATTTTCAAATCAGGTATCAGGGAAGTCTTATAAGAAGCAACATTTGAGTCAAGACTTAAGGAAAGTGGGGGAAAAGCCTTCCAGACAGAAATGTCAGCAAGCACAAAGGTCCTAAGGTAGAAACAGCTAGCATGTCCTTAGAACAGGAGGCCAATGCCTCTGGAGGGAAGCAAGCAAGGGGTACAGCAGTAAGAAACAGCGTTACAGATTAGAAGTCTTGAAAGCCATTGTAAAGACCAGTTTTTGAGTGAGATAGTAAGTTACTGAGGAGTTTTTTTTGAGAATGGAGTGTCTCAATCTGACTCACTCTTTTTAATAGGCTGCTTTCTGTGTTGATAATAAACTGCAGGGGTGAGAGCTGAAGTAAAGTAAAGAGAACRGTTAGAAAGAAAGTCACTACAGTTTTCCAGGAAGAGATGATGGTGGCCTGAGCAAAGGCAGTCACTGTAAAAATAAGAATGGTTTGGGGACATTCATGTGGAAGTAGTACAAAGTGACTGTTTCAAATATCTGAAGATAAAGTAAGGACTTGCTATTAAATGTTATGATGCAAGAGAGAAAAAAGTGTGACTTGGGTGACTTGCAGGGGTTTTGGTCGAAGTAAAAGAGTGAAATGGTTGCCACTTACAAAAACATAAAAGACCATAGAAAGAAAAAACAAAGGAAGAAGAACTGGAAATTGAGTTTTAGATATATCAGTTTGAGATGCTTGTTAGACATGCAGGTTGAGTAGGCAGTTAGGAAAGTTTAACATTTAGGAAGGGTACCAGGATGAATCTATAAATCTGGGAATCGCCAGAATATAGATTATATTGATAAGTCACAATACTGGGTATATTCAAATCAGTGTAGACAGAAACAGAGATGAAATCTAAAGTCTAAGCACTAAAATACCAATACTTCTAAAGATGAAGGAGATGATGAAAAAACCAACTAAGGAGACTGTGAAGGAATAGACAGAAGGTAAAAGGAAAATCTGTCGAACAATGTTCTGAAAAGCAAGTAACAAAAATGGTACAAGGAGGAGGAAGTCATCAACTGCACCAAATGCAGGTGGCAAACTAATGTTAGGGCTGAGAAGTGACCACTGGGTTTACCAAGATGAAATTATTGATAAGAGCAGTTTTGGTGGGGGCAGTGAGAGCCTAGGTGGAATATTTCAAAAGAAAATAGAAGAATTTTCTGGAAACAAATATAGACAAACTTTTGTTCAAAATACATTTATTCAAATAGTTGCTACTTACAAAACACAAAAGTTACTTCACCACCCACACTACCTATCAGTTTAACCAAACTAACTCTGCTCTCTTCTCAGAAGAGCTGATAACAAAATTCTGGAAGCTGATGTTGTAGCTCAGTGGTAGAGCACTTGCCTAGCATGTGTGAGGCCTGAGTTCGATTCTCAGCACCCCATATAAATAAACAAATAAAATAAAGACCCATCGACAAGTAAAACATATTTTTAAAAAAGAAAATCTGCTGCTTTTGTCCTATACTTTCCTTTAAATATCAAGTTTAGAATCAGTTATAGAATTCTTCTTGTCACCAGCCTCATTTCCCATAGTCTGTCTAAACCAAAGCTAGAAAAATGTCACAATAATTCTGCCTTATCGAATTGCCTCTTACCTTTTATCTTCACTGAATACACATTTACTGAGGCCCTGACATTTACTGATGTGTTTTATGCTAGACAAGGTTTTGACTTTAAAAAGTGTCTAGCTCAATTGTTTATGTGTTCTTCCTCTACCTCCAACATAAGAGTTAAGACACAGTTCAATTTTGTTTCAGAGGCACACAAATGATTCTGATACCCTTACTCTAACCCTCTCAGGAATCACTGATCTACAAGGAGAAACAGATAATTATATAATGTAATATCACAAGTGAATCACAAGTACAACATTTAACACAAGTATTTCTAAAATGTTACAGAGCACAGAGGAAAAATAAACTAATTCTGCCTGATGAGAATTAGGAAAAAGCATAACCTTTAAGTGTGTTTCTAAAGAACAAGTTAAAGTTCACARGGGACATTCTAATAAGAAGGGTGTAAAGGTTTGGAATATGGAATTCCCCGCAAAAGCTCATACATTAAGCAACTCAGGGATATTCAAAAGTGAAATGGTTAGATTATGAGAACTATAACCTACTAGGTAGACAAATCCATTTGATAGATTAATAATCTGAATGGATTACTGGGTGGTAACTATAGGCAGGTGAGGTATGGCAGAAGGAATTACATCACTGGAGGTGTGTCCTTGGGGATTATATTTTGTCCCTGATTCCCTGCAGGCAAGCACGCATTACCCACCCCTCACCCTGCACCATGAGCTGAGCAGCTTTCTTCCACTGTTGCTCTGCCATGATGTTCTGACTCACCTCAGGCCCAGAGCAGTGGAGTCAACTAACTATGGACTGAACCTCTAAAACCATGAGCCCAAAATAAACTTCTTCCTTTTCTAAATTGTTCATATTGGGTATCTTGGTCATAGTAAAGAAAACACAGAGGGACATTCCACATAGAGGCAATTAATATGCACAGAGGCATGGAAAGGAGACAATAGTAGCGTGTCCTAAGAATAGCCTGAAGATTGACAGTACATTAATGTATTGAGTATGGAAGATGGTGTTGGGAAATGATACTGGAAATGTAGGTTGGGACAAATTGTACAGGACTTTGTGTGCTTTAAATGCTAAGATAATCTGAGACTAAAGTTTGTGGGCAACTAGTTGCAGGTCTTTATAAATCAAGGAACATGATCAATGTCTTTTGATCAGAGGATCAAAAAGGGAAGAGAGATAGGGAAATCAAGTTAAGGTCCAAGTTATAGATAAAGTATGATCTAAATCAATGAGAGGGAAAAAGAGAGAATAGATTTCAGGAACATTTTTAAAAGAGTAACTGGAAAGCTTTTKCTGACTGGCTAGACAAGAATGATGAATAAACATCCAAGAATGAGTGGATTCTACCTTAAATAACCTTTGTATATGATCCTCTCTGTTAAGAAAAAATAGAAAGTAAAAGCAGGTAAGACAGAGGAAAATCATAGTTTCATTTTAAACAGGATGAATATGAAGGGTTTGTAGAATATCTTGATAGAAATATTTGAAGGGGAACAGAAAACATGAATTACCTCACACTAAGTATGAGGTATAAATAAGATCCATTAAACATGAATAATAAAAATTTAAAGAACTACTATAAACCACTTATATAATGAGAAACTCTGTACTGTTTGCTTAATTAAGAAACTATATATAATGAATAAAGACCAAGGCTGATTGATACCAATAAAAGAATAGAAAGCAATTAATAAATCTATTTATGATTAGTCATTTAAGCACATCTTGACACTTACAGGTCTTTTTTTTKKGGGGGGGAGGGTTTACTGGAGATTGAACTCAGGGACACTCGGCCACTGAATCACATCCCCAGGCCTATTTTGTATTTTATTTAGAGACAGAGTCTCGCTAAGTTGCTTAGTGCCTCACCATTCCAGAGGCTGGCTTTGAACTCAAGATCCTTCTGCCTCAATCTCCCTAGCTGCTGGGATTATAGGAATGCACCACTGTGCCCAGGCAGTTTACAGGTCTTAACATAGCAAATTTTATTTATAAAACCTCCCACATGAAAAACAAACACAGTACCTTCAAAATGTATATGCTCATCTGAAAAATTATCACTTTTATTTTTAAATGGCTATTAATTATGACTTTCTTTTAAAAGGAAATTATCCTTAACAAAAGGCCAAAAAAATTGCATCTATAGGGGCTGGGGATATAGCTCAGTTGGCAGGGTGCCTGCCTTATGCACAAGGTCCTGGGATTCAATCCCCAACACCACCAAAAAAAAAAAAAAAGATGCATGTATATGGCTGGGATGTAGCTCAGTGGCAAAGCATTTGCCTTGCACTGGCAAAGCCCTAGGTTCAATCCCCAGTTCCCCAACCCCAACAAAAAAAAAATATGCATATATAATTTGGCAACCAATCTTTCTACAATAGTTAGAGTAACCTTAAACATATTAAATATCATTGTAGTATAATTAACTTTAACAAAACATTAATATTTTTACTCTCTTAATTGCTTTTTTGTCAAAAATAAACTTAATAGCATGATGTGGCTTATTTTATTGTATTAGAAAGTTAAGGACTCTATTTCATTCCTAACAAAGTTTCAAAATCACTATAGACACTGATCAACACAAGACCCCAAACAACAAAAAAATCTAAATAATAGTTACATCATTACTAGATGATTTACTGAAGCACTGTGAAAAACATATAGTTCCTCTAAAATAAACGCAAAATTTTCTTTCCTTAAAACACATGTAGTTTAAGTCTTTTAAAATAGTCATTTTAAATACTGGAATTTGTTTTGGAAAATTTATTTTATTATTATAAATTATAGCATATATTCAATAAAATATTTAATGAATACCTCTTATATGTAGCATGTTCTGTAGGAACAAAAATGTATAACACATGGTATCTCAACCTTCATTATCATTTATAATATAACTGGGAAGACAGATGAGCTAAACATACATGAAAGGTCTAAACAAATAAAAATTAAAAATTAGTATTTTATACATTCCTTACCTGTACAATCTTGTGCAACATAAATAGTTATTCCTTGTAAATCAGGGTGTCTTGCTTCTTCGACTGCTTTTCTAAGAAAATAATAAAAATTATCCTTTAAAATCCTAAATAGCATTTCTGTTTGGTAACTAAAGATTTAGTTAAGAGGAGGGAAAAAGCTACCATTTTTCTGACTTACGTATTAAACCTACATATCTACTGTCAGAACTATCATTTGGACAATGATTTCTGACATGGGAAACTAYAACTTCCCCCTGTTCTACCCATTTTTACTTACTGGTTCTCTTGATTAAGAGGCTCAAGTTTATATGCTTACTCAAGGTAGAACCCATTCATTTTTTACTGTTTCCTCAGCATTCATTTCAAAGTCAATGACTTGTGAATATCAACAGAAATCAGGTTAATTTTACAAAGTTGAATTATTACACTAAATTACTCAAAGAACACCAAAGCATACATTAAAAAATACATTTTAAAAATTCTTGAATGTACAGTTTCACCTCCTACCCATCCCAAGACAGATTTCTCTCAGCTACTTAATTGGCTACAGTAAATGTTTTCTAACCATTGCTATTACGATATGCTTCAAGGTTTACTTCACATTAACTTAAAATTACTGACTTGGAATGAATTATTGTGCTTGTCCTCTGGTATACTTAAGAAAGTTTTTTTTTGTTCTATTCCTTAAATAGTCTTTCACCCTTCATTTCTAAAACCTGTATGAAGCTCAGCCTATATATTTCCAGCTACTTTGGAGGCTGAGACAAGAAGATGACTTGAGCTCACATGTTCAAACCCAGCCTACACAACACAGTGATATCTCATCTCACAACAAAACAAACAAAAACCAACCAAACAAAAAAAATCTATGTAAATGGCTGGGAATGTAGCTCATACCATTCATGAGGTCCTGGGTTTGATCTCCAACATGGCAAAAAAAAAAAAAAAAAAAAGGAAAAGGGGAAGAGGGGAAGAAAAGGAGGGAAGAGGAAGAAGAAAACATGTATGACCTGAATAAATGAATTCTTAATCTCAAATCTTAGAGTTCTATTGGGTAAAACTGCACATTAAAAAAAAAAAAATCTCTCTAAAGTGGGCGTGGTGGCACACACCTGTAATCCCAGCAGCTCAAGAAGCTAAGACAGGAGTACCTGAGTTCAAAGCCAGCCTCAGTAACTTTGCAAAGCACTAAGCAACTGAGTGAGACCTTGTCTGCCCAATCCCAGGTACCAAAAAAAAAAAATTTTTGAGTGTGATATTCTCAATGCTACAGGTGTTAAAAAAAAAAAAAGTCACTTATCTGAAAAAGAAAATTATGCAAACTGGGGAAATACAAATATTTTTATTTAACTGTATCTTTACATTTCTTTAACCTAAAATGTTTTATTATGCGGGCTCCTGTGTGTTAGTATAAAAAGATGAATTGGCAAATGGCAAATGATGGCCCATAGGCCAAACACAACTTGTAGCCTCTTTATATACTGCAAGCATGATTTTCATAGTTTTAAGGAATTAAGTGAAAAAGAAAAATACTGGGCAGCAGAACCCTTATAATATCTGCAAGGCCTAAAATATTCACTATTTGATAAAGTTTGTTGAGCCCTGGAACATATCTTTAAGGGAAGAAACTATGCTTTTTTTTTTTTTTTTTTTTAGAGAGAGAGGGAAGGCCGGGGGGGAGAGAGAGAGAGAGAGAGAGAGAGAGAGAGAGAGAGAGAGAGAGAGTTTTTAATATTTATTTTTCAGTTTTTGGTGGACACAACATCTTTATTTTATTTTTATGTGGTGCTGAGGATCGAACCCAGCGCCCCGTGCATGCCAGGTGAGTGCGTTACCGCCTGAGCCACATCCCCAGCCCAGAAACTATGCTTTTTTGTTTAGGCTTTTACATGATGTCTTACAAAGCTGAAATTTATACATTAACAATCCAATAAATAACATTAGGTAAATACTTTTTCAACAGTAAGCATATGACCTATAAAATAAAAAAGCATTATAATATGCAAAAATAGCTTGTAATAACTTCAAATTTATAAATGATTATAAATGGAGAAAATGTATGCTAACATACTACACTTAGATGATATATTGATGATTTAGTTTATAATAACAATGGGACATACAACAAATAATACAATATTTTAAAAAGTAACATTCAAATAAATGGCATGTAAAAGCTAAAGTATAATGAAATTTGACTTTGAACTTTTTTCTAACCATCCTGAATACCCTTTACTTTTACTATAATTATAATGTTAATAGTGCCATACATTTACAATTCACAAGAATCTGATGTGTGTACAAAGAAATGTTGAAAACATCAGTTTTAGCTCTTGACATTTCATTACACCATCAGTACATTACAGCCCCCAGGTTACCAAAAAAAAAAAAAAAAAATCTAAAACATTGTTTATGTCCTAAGATTGAAAGAGATGTTAGTTTTTTGAACATTTTAATAAAGTGGTATAATGAGAACTTATTTAGAAAGAGACCTTGAATATCTGTACCTATGAGCAACAATAAACAAAAGCAAGAGCAAGAAAGGAAAAATTTGTATGTAGATAAACGTAACTAGAGCCATAGTATGTCTTTTTTCCATATTAGCAAATGAAATATCCTTTATGAACATTCTTATACTAGACTTTAAAAGTTTCAATTTATATATACACATACTAAAATTCAGTATCTCTAAGCCTGAAAACCTCTGTCACAAGATCAAAGACTTTTAAATAATTTTACCTTAAAATGTGCGCAACAACACCTGGCCCATACCAATCTCCAGCACTTTTCCCAGACTTCTTTCCATACTCTATTAACTGATGTAAGCCAAAGACAGCCAATGGGGAATCACCAAACCAAGAGATGATTTTCCTGTGAAAAATTTCATTTTGCATCTCCTGATCATTAGGACATTTCTCAATTGTTTCCTTCAGAGAAATTGTTGGTGTTTCAGGTTCTCTTTCCCCTGAAAGCGATGTTTCAAATGATGATGTAATTTTTTTTACAGTGTGGGAAGTCCATGATTCAGACTCTGAATTTTCAATATTCAATGCATCAGGCCAGGTCCAAGCTATAGTAATTCCAAAGAAAGGTATTCAGATCTTTTAAATAGACAGACTTTAACAATTCTATTAAAAGAAATGTGTAGCATTTAAAGTCATACAGGTTATTAAACTAAAACAGAAAACTCAGAAATACACAAATATAGAGAGACAGAAAGTACATGAACAGCTGCTAATGAAGAGATACTGGGAATGACTGCTAATGAGTGTAAGGTTTCTCTGGGGATGATTAAAATGCCCTAAACATAGATTATAGTAGCGGCTGCAGAACTGTAAATATACTAAGAACCACTAAATTGTTTACTTTAAATGAGTGAATTTATGGTATGAATATTATATCCCAATGAAACTGCTTTCAAAAGAAAAACAAACAAAAGTATGGGTAGAGACAATCTCTTCTTCAATGATGTTTAAATGTGAGTGGTCATATTATTCTCAGGACTTTTTCTATAATCTCCAAATTTTCTAAACTGAGAATATATTACCCATAATCAAAATAACTACAAAAAGACAAAAGAAAAATACTAAACTCAGGAATAAATGTAAAATTCTGCAATTTGCTCTTTTTTATTTTCTTTACCAGCTCAGTGCTGTATTTAATTACCAGACTGCTTATCAGATATCCAGTCTTGACTCAATAAGCACATGCACTAACATTTACAGTACTCATGAATATATTTAGAAAGTGCATTTGTTCTGATTACCTATTAAAAGATAAATCTTTCCACAGAAATTTTAAACTTTCTTTAAAATATTTTTTCTATATATTCCTTCAGAATAACTTAATTATTGTTTAGAGAATAATACCAATTTTCTCATACATGAAGCTAATTTAATAAATGAAGCCATGGAAAACAAAAGTTCTTAAAAATCAAATATATCCATTACTTTACTGTTTTTAATAAACTAGTCATTAAATATATATGTCATTTTAAGTTAATAAAGTAAGTCACAGCTTTAGAAATCTAGTAAGGACTATGATAAATACTCTTAATCCTTGCCCTTGACTACAAATACATCATCCCAGAAGGTTAGCTTAAAATTTTTTTCTCCTTACTTTATTCACTGAACTCTTAAATAAACATTCTCTCTAAATCATCTCATCAATAATCTCTACATAAGGGTTATAAAACATTTGCAATGAAGTTCAGGGATATTGTCTCACACTTTTTTTGTTTTTGTATTTTGGTATTGGGGACTGAACCCAGGGGCACTTTACTACTAAGCAACATCCCCACCCCTTTTTATTTTTTTATTTTCAGACAGGATCTTACTAAGTTGCTGAAGCTCTCTTTGAACTTACAATCTTCCTACCCTAGCCTCCCAAATTGCTGAGATTTCAGGTGTGTGCCACCATGTCTGGCTGTCTAACACTTTGAAAAATTTTGTGGCTGACGATGTGGCTCAGTGGTTAAGGACCTCTGGGTTTAATCCTTAGTACCAAAAAAAAAAAAAGATAGTATTTAGTAATAGCTGGAGACAAGAGCCTTAAATCGTAAAATAAAATTCTCTTTCCAATATACACATTTGTCCATTAAAAAATGTACTAATAGAGGTTCAGTGGTAGCATGTGTGCAGTACTAGGTTAGATTCTCAGCACTACATATAAATAAATAAAACAAAGGTCCATCAACAACTAAAAAAATTTTTTAATGTATTAATAGAAGGTGGTATATTAGGAAAAAAAAGATGGAAGTTACACAATGACATTTTAGAGGGCTTTAAAGATTAAGCATGATGATCTTATTGATAATATGCCTAATTAACTTAATATAACAGTCATATTTATGAAGATAAAAATTTCAAAGCATTATTGATACATAAAGAGAAAATAAACCAAGATGAAAACTCCAGATTTAAAAGATACTAATTATTCTCCAAAATTACAGATATTAACCTGCCTAGACTTACTGAAATGGAGATATACCTAAGAATTATGCTAAAAGGGAAATAAATAATAACTACCAAAAAATCCAAAACCTACTAGTTTGAACTAACAATTCACAGTAGTGACAAGAATAACAGTCACATTTATCTAAAGATTTGAAAAAAGAATTTTGAAAGTGTGCATAGAAGACATGTATGGCCTAGTTCAATAAAATTGTAATATGCTAGGGTCAGTTACAACTTTAGAAAACATCAGGGAGTCACGAAAACTAACCTCAGAGAATTTTACAGAGTATGCAAGCTTGAAGCTCACACTTAAAAGCAACAGAGATTTGATTTACCTCTACCAAGAAAGTGTAGTATGAGTCCTTGAGCCAGTAGCATCTGGCCAGTTCTCAACGTACATCCCCAACCACAATCTGTTGTCAAAGATGAGCCTTCTATTTGAGGAAATTCTTCCCTGTAGGTCAGCCATATTCTAGAAATGAAATCTTTCCGAAATTCTTCTACATTTCCTGCAATTATGCGATCTTCTATTGTACATGCTGATTTTGAAGGTAACACTTTATTTTCATCTACAAAATAAAAATACAAACTATAGTCTTAAGTTAGGCAAAGAAATATCAATAATGGCAATATATTAGCATTATTGTCTTAAGTTATGGACTACATAACAACCTTTCTAATATTTTTTCTCACAAGTTATAGACTACATAACAACCTTTCTAATATTTTTTCTCACAAGTTATAGACTACATAACAACCTTTCTAATATTTTTTCTCATCTAAAAGGAAGATTAATTTTACTCTGCCTAATCAGGCTGTTATGAAAATCAAATGAGAATGAATCCTGAAACGTTTTAAACACTGGAAATAACTAATATAACACATATTACTATATTAACAATAACATCCTTTTCCATATATAATCAATTATTTGATGAAAGGATAATGGAAAGTATCTTTAACCTCATTTGGCTCAGGATATTCATATTAAAGCTCTCTGAAATGTGATATACAAATAAAAAGCATATAAATAAATAAAATAAAAGATCCATTTACAACTAAAAATTACTAAAAAAAAGAATGAGAAAGCCAAGAAACAAAATACATAAGATTTGCTATTAATACAGAGGCTTAATTAATTAATACCACAATCAAAAATCATGAGAAATATGATAATTATTTCACTATGAGAAAAAATTTGATGAAAAACAAATTGCAAAACAAACCCTCAGAGAGTACAGTTACTGTAATTATTTGATATAAAATAATCATGCATATATTTACAAAAGGATATCAAAAGTTGGACAAATAACAGAAATCAGACTATTAAAAGTGAACAGGTGAGGACCAAATTGAACTACTAGAATTGAAAAAAAAAAACTGAATACAAAAACTTGGTGTAGAATTATGACCGCTCAGGAGATAATTAGGGAGCCAGAAATAAGAAATAAAGAAAGAACATAGCACAGAGAGACAAAGTAATGGAAAATATAAAACAAAAAACTGCAGAGAATGAAGAAATATTTAACAGAAGATTTATCAGATATGCAGAAGGAGAAAATAGAAAGAATGGGGAACAGGTATTATTAAAAATGGCTAATAGTCAGGAATAATGGAATATGCTACTATATAATCCTAGCTACTAGGAGGTCACAAATTAGAGGACAGCCGGGACAATTTAGAAAGACCCTGTCTTAAAATAAAAATGCCTTGGGATGTAACTCAGTGATAGAGTGTTTGCCTGTATGCACAAGGTATAGGTTTAATCCCCAGTACCTAAGGGGAAAAAGGCTAATATTTTACAGATTTTTAAGAGGTAAATTTCAAGCAGATTAAAATGAAATCCATACCAAAGAAAAGGAGCTGATCTTAAAAACAACCAGAGAGGAATACAAATAAACAAATAAATGACGGCTTTGAAATAACTTGGAGAGAAATCTTTTTTTCTGTAGGGGTTAGGAAACATACAGTGAACTTTACCAAGGGTACATGAAAATGGGGTTTCCTAAGCTCCTCCTCTTCTTCAGGGGGTCCAGGATAGAACTGGGAGGAGCAGAGATTCTCATTGTGTTGGGGGACTGAGTTAGGACAGAAACTCCCTAACAGCTGGGCCCCCTTCCCATCCCCACTCCCCATCTCTTTTCTTGCTGAGGCAGGTGGTCCATAGGCTCTTATTCCTTGGAGATCATGTGGACCATAAAGTTCACCACCCTATTGCTAAAACCAAATTCACAGTCAAATAAGGAAATGAGCTTGACAAGGTGGTAATTAAGGGAGGGCAATGCCAATATCAACACCAAAGATGCTAGAGTGGGGAAGGGGTCATGTCTGTAATCCCAGCAACTCAGGAGGCTGAAGCAGGAAAGTTGCAAGTAAAAAGGCTAGGGATGTGGCTCAGTGGTAAATCCCACTGCCACCAAAAAACTAAATAAATAAATAGGAGGGAATATCATTGTTACAGTTACAGGAGACAACYTGGTCCCCAATGTAGCCCAAGATGCCCTTTAGTGGGCCTGAAGAGAAAAACATCACATCTTTAAATAAGCAAAGATTTCTTAAACAGAATACAAAGAGCACTATTTAAGATGTAAAAAATATTAACTAGACTATATTAAAATTAAAAATTAAGATACCATTAAGTGGGTGAAAAAGTAAGTAATGAAGTAGATAAAAGCATTTCCTATACATATCTCCAAAATGAGGATTTATATCCAGAATATGTAAAGAAAATCTATAAATCAAAAATAAAAATGAAGACAATTTAATAGAAGATATATCCAAATAGTCAATAAACAAATGAAAATATGCTCAATTTTACCAAAAAAGATGCAAATTAAAATCAAAATATGGTTTTAATGTCCCACTCACAGTAGCCTCAAAAAAATATTTGGGAATCAATCTAACGAAAGAAGTGAAACATCTCTACAATGAAAACTACAGAACACTAAAGAAAGAAATTGAAGAAGGCCTTAGAAAATGGAAAGTTCTCCCATGTTCTTGGATAGGCAGAATTAATATTGTCAAAATCTCCCTACTACCAAAAGCACTATATAGATTTAATGCAATCACTATTAAAATTCCAATGACGTTCTTCATAGAAATAGGAGTCATGAAATTCATTTGGAAAAATAAGACCCCCATAATAGCCAAAGCAATCCTTAATGAGAAAAGTGACAGGAAGCATCACAACACCAGACCTGAAATTATACTACAAAGCTATAGTAACAAAAATGGCAAGGATTGGCACAAAAACATACATGAAGACCAGTGAAACAGAATAGAAGACACAGAGTCATACCAACATAAATACAGATATCTCAGGGCTGCAATTGTGGTTCAGTGGTAGAGCACTAGCCTAACGTGTTAAGGCACTGGGTTTGATCCTCTGCACTACATAAAAATAGATAAAATAAGGGTATTGTGTCCACCTACAACTAAATTTTTTTTAAATCCTGAATTGTTAAATATTTTTTTAAAAATACAGATCTCATACTAGACAAAGGTGCCATAAATACACACTAAATAAAAGACACCCTCTTCAACAAATGGTGCGGGGAAAACTGAAAATCCATATGTAATAAAATGAAATTGAACCTCTATCTCTCACCCTGCACAAAACTCCAACTCAAAAGTGGATCAAGGACCTAGGCATCAGACCAGAGACCCTGGGCACACCTATTAGAAGAAAAAGTAGGCCCAAATCTCCACCATGTCAGCTTAGGAACTGACTTCTTCAGTAGAACTCCTAAAGCACCAGAAGTAAAATCAAGAATCAATAAATGGGATGGTATCAAACTAAAAAGCTTCTTCACATCAAAGGAAACAATCAAGAACATGAAAAGAGAGCCACAGAATGGGAGAAAATCTTTACCATCAGCACCTCAGATAGAGAGCATTAATCTCCGGGATATATAAAGAACTCAAAAAAACAGCATCAAAAAAATTAAAATTAAAATAAATAATAAATGGGCAAAGAAACTGAACAGGCACTTTACAGAAGAAGAAATATGAATGGTCACAAAATATATGAAATTATGTTCAACATCTCTAGCAATTAGAGGAATGCAAATCAAAATTACACTGAGATTCCATCTCACCCCAGTCAGAATGGCAATTAACAAGAATACAAGCAACAATAAAGGTTGGCAAGGATATAGGAAAAAGGTTAACTTATGCATTTCTGGTGGGACTGCAAATTGGTGCAACCACTCTGGAAAGCAGTATGGAGATTCCTCAAAAAACTAGATTGACTCAGTTATCTCACTCCTCAGTATATACCCAAAGGGATTAAAATCAGCATAATACAGTTATGTAGCCATTTCAATGTTTATAGCAGCTCAATTTGCAATAGATAAGCTTTGGAAACAACCTAGGTATCCTTCAACAGATGAATGGATAAAGAAAATGTGGTATATACACGATGGACTATTACTCAGCAATAAAGAAGAATGGAATAATGGCATTTGCCAGTAAAATGGGTGGAATTAGAGACTATCATCCTAAGTGAAATAAGGCAGTCCCAAAAAACCAAAGACAAAATGTTCTCTCTCATATGTGGATGCTAACCCACAACAAGGGAGGGTGGAGAGAAAAAGAATAGAAATCCATTGGATTGGACAAGGGGGAATAAAGAGAAGGTGGGTGAGAGGAATAGGAAGGACAGTAGAATTAATCAGGCATAACACTTTCTTATCCTTGCCTTTGGCTTTCTTTTTAATATCTTTATTTTATTTTTATGTGGTGCTGAGGATGGAACCCAGGCGAGTGCGCTACCACTTGAGCCATATCCCAAACCCAAACTTTTTTTTTTTGTGTGTGTGTGTGTGTGTGATGCTGGGGATTAGAACCCAGGGCCTTGTGCATGCAAGGCAAGCACTCTACCAACTGAGCTATATCCCCAGCCCACATTTGGCTTTTTAAAAAATATTTTTAATTGTAGAGGGACACAATAACTATTTGTGTTTTATATGTGGTGCTGAGGATCACCCCCAGTGCCTCATACATATTAGGCAAGCTACCACTGAGCCACAACCCCAGCCCATCTATCCTTGTATTTGAATACATGACCAGGGTAACTCCGCATCATGTACAACCACAAGAATAGGATCCTTATTAGAATAAGTTATACCTCATATATGTACAATATTCCAAAATATACTGTACTGAAATATATATCTAAAAAGAACAAATAAACATTTTAAAAGCCCTAAAAAATTCTAATCATATTTTTTATAAATTCCTTATATCATGATATCATTTAGAATGCTTACATGTACCAGACACACAACTAAACACCTATGAAACAGGTATCATTAATACTTAGGAAGATCAAATAACTTGCCTAAAGTAACAACTAAAAACAAAGAGCCAAGATTCAGAACCAAGAAAAGTTTGACTTCAAAGCATACTCTTAATACTCTATTCATACTGCTATGGCTATCTTCTGCCCATTAAAATATGTCAAGAACTATGTAATGTTTTTAACAACCAATAATAAAAATTAAATATATATAATATATTATATTAAAATATATCATATAATAAAATAATACATATATATGGATATCTCCTAACTCTTCATCCTCACCACAACTAAGGTGGACATCCATTTCCTAAACGTTGTCTCTAATATATAATTGTTTTCATCATGCCATTCTATTTTCCTAAAATACTCACCTTCTTTATCAACTTCCTCCTGACCCATAAAGGCTGTTGTGACGACTGAATGAGTTAATACATATAAATTACCTAGAATGCTGCCTGGCTATTATTACTACTTGAAAAATGTTAACTGCTATTATTAAAAGCCATGTATAAGGTTTTAAAAAATTGATGAGAAATGATACACCAAAATAGGTCAACCAAAAGTGAATATACCTTGCAATAACATATGTTCAAATACATTCTTTGTTTTCTCTCTTAGAGACAGACCGAAACACATTCAAACATACAAAGTCAAGCACAGATGCACAGTAAAAAGAACACCAGTGTTAGAGACAGACAGTCTTGGTTTAAATTTCAGCTTTGCTATCATGTAAACTTTGGACAAATTATTTAGCTTCTCTCAGCTTCTGGCTTCACATTCATAAGGTAGGGACACTTATGTCTATCTTTTAGGCTTCTTGTAAGAATTAAAGATATTTTCCAAAGAGCCTAGCATGGTGCCCAGAACTCAGTAGTGGAATAAATTTTTTATAGGTGATTACTGAAAGGATAAGTATATGTGAAAATTCAGAAACATCAAATAAAGTCAACTTGAGATACTGAAGCATCCATAAATGTTTGAAAAATTATCATTCTTAGGTTAACTAAGATGAAAACTTTCATTATTATCATCATATACTTTAAAGTTATTAGACAATCTGATAAACAATGTTAATATATCAATTCAAATAACATTTATTTAGTACTCATATTGAAAGTCTAAAACTATGAGGGACATAACAAAAGAGAACATGATCCTTATCTTGAAGGAGTTAACAGGAACCAAACCATATGGTAATATATTATGTATTACATAAAATAAAGGTACTTAACAGAGCTATGCCAGAAATAGAGTAATATGAAAATAAAACAGTAAAAAASTTTAACAATAAATTCTTCAAAGATTTTTAAATGTTTTACAAATTTAGCACTTACCTTCATATTTAAAATGGTAACATTTTCCAAGCAATAAAACTGGAGAATTTCTACTAAAATATGTCTTTGTTTTCAAAACCCAACCTAAATAGAAGAAGGAAAAAAAGAAGTCAAACTAAGAGTCTAGTGGTATTTTCTTTTAATTTCAAGACATCAATTACCACTTATGAATGTGCATTTATTCCAAGAGCTGCAAAATATTTAGACAATGACCTTAATATACAAGTCATATGTTACTTTCGAATAAAAATATTTTTAACCACATTCCATCCCCTTAAAGAATATGAGAAAAAAATTTTTAATTTACTTTGTCAGATCTTGATGTTATTATGGTACAAAATTCCAAAGATACAAATTCTACTCTGACTTCCCCAACACTAATTTCTAGTCCCCAGGGCAACAATATATATCAATTTCTTGCATTTTCTTTTATCCTAGAAATTAAAAGACTTGAAAGTATTTGCATATTCCCAGGAAATAATTAAGGAAAAAAACACACAGTAGCCAAATGCTACTATGATAAAAGTGGATCCCTGAAGGTTCCTGGGGAAATCTGTTAAAACGTCTTCATTTTGATGAGATGAGAATGTCTGCATGTGGTATATAAAGCTTTCAGACATCTAAATCTTCAACCTTCCAAACCTCAACAAGTTGCAAATTCTAATTCTTCCAATTTGTTTTATTACTAAACTGTCAGCATCAAAAAGGTAGTATCCTGGTCTGGGGATGTACTTCAGTGGCAGAAAGCTTGCCTAAGCATGTGCGAGGCCCTGGGTTCAATCTCCAGTGCAAAAAAAACCAAAAAACAAAAAAACAACAACAAAAAAAAACAACCTTGGTAAAAGTTAGTATCCTTTTTGGCTTTTTATAATTCCATTAATAATTCCAAATCTCTTGAGGAAAGAACTTGCCTGCTACATTGCTGAATATTCTTTTTTTATTTTATTTAWTTATTCTAATTTGTATATGACAGTAGAATGTATTTCAATTCATTTTACACATATACAGCACAATTTTTCTTGACCCTGGTTATACACAAAGTAGAGTCACACCATTTGAAATTCCTGACTGCTAATGGTAGGCTTAAATGAATCTTCTAAAATACTAGACTGTTTCAATACAAAGAAGCTGTAATTGAAAGTCAAATTGGGTCTACTCTTAGGAAGACAATCAGCCTTTATATTTAACAGACTTGTTATAAAGTAGTGATTTTTATGAGTGCACCCCAAAGTGCTACATAAATAAATTATTTATTTTTATTTTTAAAATATTTATTTAGTTGTAGATGGACAGAATATCTTTATTTTTATTTATTTATTTTTATGTGGTACTGAGGATTGAACCTAGGGCCTAATATGTGAGAGGCAAGCACTCTACCACTGAGCTACAAACCCAGCCTCGAAAAATTTATTTAAAATAAAAATGTCAGTCTCTTAATTTGAAAGTAAAAGAGAATGGGATGTCAAATACACTAAGCTTCACTTGGATTATTACAAGACTCACCAAAATATTTTTTGTGTGATAAGTGTTTCCCTATTCTAACAATTGCAACATATCATAGCCAAATTAAACTCCCTGTGGCTCAGTTCTTATCAGGTAATTCTTCTGTTCAAAAAACATATTCAGCTACTCATTTCTTAATAGATTTATTATGAACTTCTCATTCCTATTAAAGACTTTCCAGAGACAAATTATCTTTATAATCATATTTCCTTCTTTCCTTGCCTCTACTCAAAGTGGGCTTTGCTACAGTAACAGTCCATCTAAATCCTACTCCTTCTTCTGGCTCAAACATGCTCTTCCAACACAATTTTTCCTTTCCCCCTTCTTTAAAGAAGTGAGAAATTGGCATTTATCTATTATATTCCGAGGACCAGACTATGAGTTTTACATATATCATCTTTTAATACTATTCTTAGTATCTTATAAATGATCCTAATCCAAAATAGTAGTAGCTGTCTTTCCCAAAAAGGCAGTATTTTCAAAGAACACCCTAAGAACTTAATAAAAACAAGCTCAAATAAAAGGAAACTACTTAAGGAGAAACTTCTCCCTGTGGTTTATATTTTCTACCTATTTCCCAACCACCCACCAGTCCTTCTTCAAAAAAGGAAAAGTTAGGAATCCGGCCAGAACCTGAAGCACTGCAAAAGTCCACAAGAGAACCGGATTACAGGGCTTTACAATTCAACCATTAATGATGGGGTACATATACTCTCTTRCTCTTCTAATTCCTGTGTAGACCCTGGCAGGATCTAACCCCTCATCACAGACTGATGTCCTTTAATATTCCATGTAGTTAGATATATAAAAGGACCCTATTTTTTCTCTCTTTTTCCACAGGCATGTCAGAGATGAATCAGTCTACCATGTCAATGACTAAACCATATGATGTAAGCTGGTTTCCTCTGCCACACTCTTCCACCATGATGTTCTGCCTCACCTCCAAACAGGAGGAATGGAGCCTGCCTTCTATGAACTAAGACCTCTGAAACCATGAGCCCTCAAATAATCTTTTCTTCTCTAAAATTGTCCTGGTCAGATCTTTTAGTCACAACAGCAAAAAAGCTGACTAAAACATTATACAAAGCTATACAGCTACACAAAGACTCTCCTCTTCATGGAGTCTCTCCGTGTGATTTCTCCAGCAGAGAACTGAACTGGTTACTTGACAGTTCAGAACTCCAAAACAGAATAAGTGGAAGTCACCTTTTAATGGCTAGGCCTGGAACTGACACAGCCATCACTTCCATTTCATTCCTACTAACTAATGTCCAACATGAGCCAGACCAAATTCAATCAGAAAAAGTGACAACACAAGATGTGTTTCACTGAGGGTCATCTTTGGAGATCAACTACCACAAAGAGAATCTTACAAAAAGACCTTATTTGTAATATTCAAATTGGTGATTTAAGGCTTTAAAAGCCGTACCCAGGATAAAATATACAGAAATACTAAGCGTGATAATAATATTCTGGAGAATAAGAAACACCCAGAATAATAATTATCAATACTGACCTCAGTATCAATACTAATTTTTTAAAGAGGAACCCAAATTTATAATCATAAAATCATGCAAAAAGGGGGGGGGCAAAAATGGCTCTTTGAAGAAAATAAAATCCAGTGCATTTTATATCTTATTATTCAGTTCCAATTTCATCACCATGATAATATCAGCCTGACTTTGAATAATCTTAAATTATGTAAACTATATTCAGAAAATAACAAGATTGAAAAACAAGGGAGGTTGGGTTTGAAATCTGTTTTCCAGATTTACCCAGATAGGTGGCCTTGAACAGGTCATTTACTCTCAGCTTTCTAAACTTATATTAAAAAAAAAAAAGAGTGTAATGATTTGGATCATCATCTCCAAAGGTTCAAGTGTCAAAGGCTTGGTCCCAAGCTGATACCCTACTGGAAGGTGGTGGAACTGATAGGAAGTTGGGTCATTGGAGATATGCCCTTGAGTGGAATACTTGGACCCCAATCTCTTCTCTCTTTTTGCTTCCTGGATGCTATAAGGTGAATAGCCGCCCCTGCCACATACTCCCCCACCACGATGTTTCTACCTAGCCAGAAGCCAGAAAGCAATGGAACCAGCCGACCCTGGGACTATCTCTGAAACTGTGAGCCAAAATAAATCTTTGCTCTCTTGAAAATGATTCTCAGGCATTTTGTCACAGCAAGAAAAATCTAACACAAAGTATCAGAGAGATGAGATTTAAATGATAAAGGACAAAAACTGTCTATTACAAAGTCCAGCATACAATGAATATTCAATCAACAGAAGTCTTTCCTACACTTCCCCATGCTATACAAACTCTAAGGATGTAAAATACACAAAACATTTTAAAATGAGCTCCAAAAATTAAAATTAAAATAGTATTTCATAACAAAAAGCTACCTAGAACACTTAGTTACCCAAAACAATCTGTTCTTCAGAGATGTGATAACCATAATTTCACAATATGCACTTAAATATCTAAACAAAGAAAGCCACACATTATTAAAACTTTTATATGCATACGTGTGTGACTGGTTAAATAACAACTCCTAAGATACTGCTGAAATGTGTTAATGAATTTCTTTATTATAATTTTCAAACCTTACAAATGAAATCTTCATCATATAACCTACTCATTAAAGATTAAAGGACAAGGGCTAGGGATGTAGCTCAGTTGGTAGAGTGCTTGCCTCACATGCATAAGGCCCCAGCACTACAAAAAAAAAAAAAAAAAGATCAAATGACAAGTCTCAACTTGCAGATAAAATTATTTTCTCTATAAAAAAAACTTAAAGAATACACACAMAAAAAAAACTAGTAGTACTTATAAAGAATTTCTTCAAGGTTATAGAATACAAGATCAAATTACAAAAACCAGTTGTATTTCTAAATACCACAGTGAACGATTCAAAATGAAATTAAGAAAACAATTCATTTTACAACAGCATCAAAAAGAAAAGATAGCTCCAACAAAAAGAGTGCAAGACTTGAACACTGAAAACTACAAAACATCACTGAATTTTAAAAGACTTAAACAATTGGAAAGACATTCATGTCCATGGACAGGATGGCTTAATATTGCTAACAGAGCAAAACTCCCCAAATTGATCTACATATTCGATGAAATCCCTATCAAAATCCCAGCTGGCATCTTGTAGAAATTGACAAAATGATCATAAAATTCATATGGGAAGGCAAATAAGCCAGAATAACCAAAAAAATCCTGAAAAGGGAAAAAAAGTGAGAAGACTCACTTTCCAATTTCACACTTTACTACAAAGCTATAGTAATCATTGTGAGCATAATTGCAGCCATTTTCCTTTTCCCCACCTCCATTTTATGAATATTGTTCTTATTCCCATGAAATACAAACTAGCCCGAGATAAAACCTACCAGCCTGGAGATGTGCTGGTCTCTCCCTGTTCTCTCATTAAGAGATAGAAGACAACTTACTGGCCCCTGAGATGGGGACGCACTGGTTTCCATGTTCTCTCCTTAAGAAGATAAAGGGACATGCTGGCTTCCCTATTCCCCCTCTGAGAGATAGGAAAACTGCCTGTCTCTGTTCCCAAGAAATAAACTTGCCTTCCACAAGATAACGGGTTGCTTACCATGTCAGTCAAGACTAAACCTACCCCTAGTATGCGGCCATGGTTCTAGCCTATAAAAGATAAGATTCAAAGGGGGAATTGCTGTTGCTCTCCTTCCTTGCTGCTGCTGTCCCTCTCTTTGTGCAGAGCAGCCTTGTCAGGCTCCTGACAATAAACCTACTTCTTATACCAGGTGTGTGTGTGATCAGTCCTGCACCACTTTTCTTTCAACCATGACAGTCAGGTACTGGTATAAAGACAGATGTAGAGATAAATGATATAGAAATGACAGTCCCTAAAAAAACCCATACATCTATGGTCAGTTGATTGTAGACAAAGATGTCAAGATCATTCAACTGAGAAATAATAGTTGATAATGAGAAATCTAGATAACCATACAAAAGAACAAAATTGGAACTCTACCTCTCACCACATGCAGAAATTAACTAAAAATGGATTTAAAAACCTAAGTGTAAGAGTTAAAACAATAAAATTCTCAGAAGGAAACATGAATATAAATTTTCACGATCTTGATTTAGCAACAATTGATTTATTATGGCATCAAAAGCACAAGCAACCAAAGACAAGAAAAACTGGACTTCAACAAAATTAAAGTTTTGGGCTTCAGTGGACACTATCAAAAAAGTAAAAAGTCAATCCAAGAATGGGAGAAAATATTTGTAAATCATATATTTGCTAAGGGATTTTTATCACTCAATTATAAAATTACAAATAACCCAATTATAAAATGGACAAAGCATTTATCCAAAGAAGACATACAACTAGCCAGGTGGTCATGAAAAGATGTTCATCATTATAAATCATCAGAGAAAGGCAAATAACCCCATAGTGAGATTCCACTTTACATCCACTGCAATAAGATGGACAATAACAAGTGATGGCAAGGATATGGATAAAGTCAACCTCTCAAACCTTGCTGAAGGGAATTTAAAATGGTACAGTCACTAAGGAAAATAGTTTGGCAGTTCCTTCAAAAGTTAAACTTTAGAGTTAATATATGACGCATCAATTCCACTGCTAGGTATATACCCAAGAGAATGAAAAAGATACATTCACACAAAAACCTGTTCACAGCAACACTATTCATAGAAGCCAAAAACAGAAACAACCCAATATACATCAACTGAAAAAAGTTAAGTAAAATCTTTAGCCATACAATAAAACATTAATGAGTTTCATATAAAAAATGAAGTATTAATACATACATATTATATGTATGAACTTTGAAAATATTATTCAAAGTGACAATAGCCAGATACAAAAGGTAACAAGCTATATGATTCCATTTACATGACATATTCAGAACAGTCAAATTCATGGAGTCAGAAAGTACACTTTTTAAATTGATATATTAAAAATATGAACTAGGGCTGAGGGAACAGCTCAGTTGTAGAATGCATTTAGCACATGCAAGGCCCTGAGTTTAATCTCCAACACCACAAAAAATAAATAAAAATTAAAATTGTACACTATAAAAGGGTATATTTTTAGTATGTAAAATACTTTTATTTTTAAAAAATTAATGTTCAAAATTTTCAAAATGCAATATCATGTTGTTGCCAAATTATATCTATACATATATAGCTAGCTGATCACTTCCAGTAGACCAGAAGCCAAATGTCAGTTATGTTTTATCTGTATTTATATTATAAAGGCCTTTTATTGAATTCTGTTATCACTCCTGGTTTTTCAAATTTTTTTTTAGTTGTACATGGACACAATATCTTTATTTTTACTTTAATGTGGTGCTAAAGATCAAACCCAATGTCTCATGCATACAAGGCAAGTGCTTTACCACTGAGCTACAACCTCAGCCCCATCATTCCTGTTTCAAAGATAAATTTAAAGAATTTTGTTATCATTCCTGTTTTTTTTCTTCCTGTAGAAACTAGTTCTGCCTGAGTACTTCTCTATCTTTGAGGGCTTCTTCATCTCAAATTTGTATCTAACCTGAGGTGGATTTCAATAATAACCACATTAGTGGYTCAGGAAACTAAGGCAGGAGGATCATGAGTTCAAAGCCAATCTTGGCAACTTATGGAGGCCCTAAGCAACTCATCGAGACCCTGTCTCTAAATAAAATATTTTTTAAAAGAACTGGGGAAATGGCTCATTGGTAAAAAGTACCCCAGGATTTAATTCCTGGTACCAAAAAAAATATTACCCCTATTGAATTTGTTTGCCAAGAGTAACCAGTTTGAAAATAGTAACTAGAGAGTACATTTGAAGAAAAAATTCAGCAGTATCAGTGTACGAACCTGATACTACTGTATGTTCAGAAGTAAACTTTGGTTAACTTCCTGGTTCAGAGATGAGGCTGCCTGAAACTGAATCTAAAGAAGTGAAGTATTATCACCTGAATAAATTATTTCTGCCATGGGATGTTAAAAAGTACACATCCATGAGGATATCAATAAACTCTAGCAAAATAGGGAGGGAAAAAAGGACCGAACAGTATGTTTGAGTTTCTAAGCAATGTTCATAATGACATTTAGCTCTTTCTTCAGGAAATTCTTATCTACATTCCTTACAAAAATTAAGGAAAAAAGATATATATCTTCAAATACTCCCTTGGATTTATATAATTCATAAGTCATAATACTTACTATATTTCATGTTGTTCCATGCTGATATAAATTTAGTTTTTAGCTTGTCAACTTCATCTGTTCCCGTGGCCTCCATATTCAAATTCTAAGAAAAAGCCATTACTTGGTTGCATTCTTCTGTACAGTTTAATCTTCTGACTTAAAGGAAAAAAGTTAAAGAAAAATAAGTATACATATTATATGGTGCCATTCTGCTAAAGTTACTTAAGTGATTAAATATAATCTGAAGTAAAAGGAGCAAACCAATTTCTCATTTTACAGACAAAAATAGAAAATCAAATTCTCATTTACAGACAAAAATCTTATAAAATATGATATTCCATAAATATTTAACTATATGAAACATTCAATACCAAATATGTAACAATAAAATTATCACACAAAACCAAACACTCATATTGAATATAATAAAAATTACCTTAGTAACATAGCTCAGCTTTTATGCTTATAAGAACACCGAAGATTTATTTTATTTGTTATTAGAGAAGGTGATTTGAAATCTTATAAAATAAAATGTTGACTTCCATTAATATTAAGTTGCTACTTTCAAATAAAGTTTAATTGTTTTGTATTTTAAATTATGATATTTAATTTCTTCCTATTTTAATACCAAATACCGAAGCTTTTTAAAAAATAAAATAGTATGGCTTAAATTTACAAAAGAAAATGTTTTCTTACTTTAAAATAAGAATAAACATAGTTCATAAGTATGTGTTTCATAATGTTGTCTAGGGGGAAAATTGAGTTGTGAGATACAATCTGAATGAGGAACAAATTATAACTGAAAATGCTTGTGTTTATTTGCAATAATTCACAGTGTACTTTTCAAGACATGAATGTTGCACAGAACATTATTACTCTTTTAGGGTTATAAACATCTACTCAAAAATATTGATACATCCATTTTTCTAACAATTGGCATTGTGTTTTATAATATGCATTAAAAGCTACTAATCATAAATTATGTCTAAGACAGGAGAAAACATGACTTACTGGTAGAATTTAAAAACAAATGTGCTTACAATACACAAACTCCAAAAAAGTGGCACAAGATGCAGGAGCAGGAAGGAACACACCAGGTGTTACAGACCGGGTTAAGAATTTTGTTCTTTATCCTAAGAAACTGGTTTCAAACACAAATATTGGAATTGTTTTGTGTTTGTTTTACTCAACAAACAGCAGCATGGAGAATAYTGAAAGATGACAGAAGCAGGGATACCTTCAGCTCATCCAGGGGCCTGATGGATCCCAGCTGGTGGTATTCCACCACCAATCCACATAAGAAACAAGGGAACAATGGGAAAATGGGAAAGGATGCAGTTTAGGAAGCAGCAGCTGGACTGTTTCTCCACTGGTCCCACAGAAGCAGTTACAATTTATAGAAATGAAAATCAGGTGATATACGTATTTATACAGGTTTAGTTAGGCTGTGCTTATTAGCCAGAGAATATATCAGTAGCACCTGTTTTCATTCTTAACAAGGCAGTTGGTTACATTGATTTGGGGCTAAAACAAGATGTCTGAGCTGAAAATCTTAATTTGCAAACTGCTGATGTATAAACAAGAATTAGAGCTATAAATACATTTCTCAAGGACTTTGTCTAGTTCATGTTTACAACCCCAGCACTTAGCAAATTCCTGGTATTTAATGAGAATATTTAAGGCTCTTCATGAAGTAACTCTATCCATACTTCACTTAGCTTCCTCTTGCCAATCCCTAACATGTATTGTATGCTGAAGCCATTTTTTAAATTAAGCTTCTTGAACTTTTGATATGCTGTTTGCTATCTCTGCAAGTACTGTTCCTTCTACCTGGAATACCTTCCTGGTCACCCTCACTATTTGATCACCTTACATTTATTAAATGAATCACTGATGGGTTGGAGTTTTGTGCGGTTCAGTGGTAAAAGCACTTGCCTAGCATGTGTGAGGCACTGGGTTCATTTCTTAGCACCACACATAAATAAATAAATAAATAAATGTCCATCAACAACTAAAAAATATATTTTAAAAAATGAATCAGTGAACTGATAAATTAATGAAATATAGATATATTGTCACCAGAATTAGAATGAGTTCTAACTTACAATTAAAATAAAAGAAAATTTCCCTCAAAGAAACTGTCCACATATTTAGCAAAATATATAAAAGCAAAGAGAAGCAATTATAAAATGTGTGCATTACATAAAGTGCATCCACATGATGGATTACATAGCCTTTAAAAATGTCTCCAAAGAGTTTGTGAAAGTGGAGAAACACTGTCAGACCACACAGGCAGGGGTGGGATAGATGGCAGGTTCAAAAAAGTTCATCAAAATGTTAACAGTTTCTCTGTGTGGTTACTTTTATATCATCATTGTCCATATTTTCCAAATCTTATGTAAAGAAAATGTATTAGTTTTAGAATTTAGAAGATTATATTTTTTAAAGTCACCAACCTTGAATCCTCTAAATCCAAATATTTTAATTAAGAAAAGGTGCACACGTGTATTTTTTTTTCCTAAGTCAGAAAGAGAGTAGGCCACAGGAAAGACTGGTTTCACCAATTCCTAACACTATTCTGGATGGTCCTTAGCAGGAATAAAGAAGTCAAAATGCACTGATTCTGACTCTCTAATTAAATAGTTTATCAAAGTCTTCTTTCCAACTACAAATATTTGGCACACTAACCAAAGTCTCAAGTGTAAGGATATTGTATTTCATCAATAGTGCTGCTGTGACACTTCCAGAATGGTGCCATGTAAAACCAATGAGCTCACCCCTAAATCCACTGTAGCTGTACTACTCATGACCTCCCTTGAAATTTCTCTAGCTTGGCCACTATGATGCCATAATCTTCCCACTATTTTTTTTTTAAGTTGTTGATGGACCTTTATTTATATGTAGTTCTGAGAATCGAACCCAGTATCTCACACATATGAGGCAAGTGCTCTACCACTGAACTACAACCTCAGCCTCCATCTGACAATTCCTGTTAGGCTTCTTCATTAACTTCTATTCTCCATTTCTAAATGCATTATATTTACTTACATCTGCTACTAAACAGAGTTTTGGGCAGAACCCAAGACGACAGTTCCTAAAGACTGTCCAATAGTTCTACCCTATTTGCTTTCCTTTTTCATCAGTATTTCCACTCATATTTCTTTGGCTGTGGTCAATCTTTCCTTGAGCTCTTTGACTACAGACCTAATTCCAAAATCCACTTCTCTGCTAGTTTTACACTCGTATGTTTCAGGAATGCATCAAGTTGAACACGTCAAAATAAGTAAGCAAATTCATAAGCTTCCTTGTAAAACCAGCTTCTTGTCTTATTCAGTTTCTGTAAATAGCATCAACTTCCCAACAGACTCAGATGGGGTCATCTCATACTCCTTGCATTCTCTTAACCCTTTACATCCTCTTTACATCCAACTCCTCCTTTTATTTTTTAAAATTTACAATGTCTGTAAAATCTGTTCATTTTCTCTACCACTCCTTAAATACCTTATTATTTCTTAGTCATTTCTGTCTAAATGACCTCCTCATTTTATTGTTGTCCCTCTACACTACCATCCAATCGCCCTAAAGCATGCCTCTTTCACTGATTCCCTTTCGAATACAGAATAAAGTCTAAATCCCTGGTATTTAAATATAATACTTGCTTACTCAATAATTCTAGTGCAGTTAGTATTCTATATATAACTATATATATAGTATTCTATATATAACCCAGACTTAGCTTTGTGAGATATTGCTGGGACACAGACTCCCCTACCCAAATATTAAAAAAAAAAAAAAAAGTCAAGATGCCCTAAAAGGGGTTGGAGGAAATGAAGATGGTGAGTAATCAGGCATTTTGCATAGGGAAAGCCTGCATCTTAGATAATGACTCCTAAATAAACAAATAAGCAAAGTAAGATGCTATGATACATAAATTAATGAGACAAGTGTGCTAACCTCAATGAATTTAGAGTGGAATAAACTGCTGAATTATTCTTTTATTATTATTTTTAATTGAAACTCCTGCTACTTAGATTAATGACTCAGAATATCTTTATCCCCAAATGTGAAACATTTGAAATGTTTCTGAAACATATCCTTCAGTATTCCATAAGAATACTTTTATTGTCATTGCTATATTGAGTAATTAAGAATAACAAAATTATCAGCATAGGATCAAACTAAAAATAATCTGTTACTATTTTAACAATTAAATATAGTTATTTTTCATATGACTAATATTGAGTTACATTATTTTCTAAAAATTGAAGCCCATTTTATTTCCATAACAAAAATTTAAATGACAATTTCTAAAACTCTTTAATTTCTGAGCAATTAGAGGTTATTTTAAAAAGTGATCCCTAGGGGCTAGGGATGTGGCTCAAATGATAGCGTGCTTACCTAACATGTGTGAGGCACTGGGTTCGATTCTCAGCACCACATAAAAACAAAATAAAGATATTGTAAGAAAGAAAGAAAGAAAGGAAGGAAGGAAGGAAGGAAGGAAGGAAGGAAGGAAGGAAGGAAGGAAGGAAAGAAAGAAATTGTGTCCACCTAAAACTAAAAAAATAAATATTTTTTTTTAAAAAAGTGATCCCTAGAACCATGTTGGAAAGTATTAGAAACTGAGAAACTTTATAAAGGAATAAACAAAAATGCCTAATCGGAAGATTTGTCTTACTTCATACTAAAACTCATTAAAAAACTACAGTAATCAAACCTTAATACTATTTAAATTTATTATTCCTATTAGCACAGGATGACACCAAATAAAACATAATAGGGAATACAGAAATAAACCCAAGCACATTTGAGAATTTAAGACCTGACATGGAAGATATTTCACATTAGTGATAAAAGATGAACAACACTACAATAATAGGCTAGCCAGTTTAAAAATAAAGCTCGGTGACTACCTCACACATTATGAATTCTAAATTAAAAATTTAAATACAAATGCAAACACAGGGAATATATGCGCATACTTCAAGGAAATAACAGATTAAAAATTTTTAAACAACCTTGGAAGAGCAAAGGCAGTTCTAAGCACAGTATACAAAACCAGAAATCAGAAAGGAAAATGCAACTACTAGAAATGAAAACTTCTGTACAGCATAAACAAGGTTGAGTTACAATCCATCAAGGTTGAGTTACAATCC